GTGTGTGTGTGTGTGTGTGTGTGTGTGTGTGTGTGTATACATGTTTTTGTTACCTGGTGGGGATGATTTTTGATCATTTCCCCAGTAAACACAACCTTGTGAGGACCCACTGTTCCTTATGGGGACAAAATCCATTGGGGGAAATACCATTGGTGGGTCAGGGTTTAGAGTTAGGACTAATGTGTGAATTGAGTTTAGGTTAGGTTTGGGGTAACAGGTCAGGGTTAGGTTATAGAAATGGCCGGTGAATGAGTGGAAGTCGTAGCAAAGTCCCCATGAGGATAGAAGAATAAATGTGTTTGTGTGTTTTTGTTTTGATAGCTGCCCTTATTTTGTCTCATAGTCTTTTGCAATCCCCAAAAGCAGGTTTATAGTTGACACCGGTTCTGTTAAATATAAAAACAGGCATCTGATATGAAATTATAACTTGCATGGTTGAACTGAGTTTTTCTTTTTATTCAAACTTTGTATCAGGTACAGTTTGGACACTTGATAGTGATAATTGATGATCTAGCTGATTATCTAACTGCTAATATACACAGGTCAAATAGGCAGAAATACACAGAATTAACATTACACTGGAATGGTCGACCACAGCACAGCCTATTAATGAGATGAGAATTCATTATGTTATCTTGGTAGATGCTACATGATGTCCTTAGTTATGACAACGGACCATAAGTACTGGATCAAAGAAAAGAAAAAACTAAACTCTGCCAAGAAGCCCATTGATTTGCCTTTCTGTCTGTCTGTCCATCCATCCGGGGTGAAAGTTTAAAATTATATAAAATAATATAAAATAATTTTATAAATAAAATAAATAAATAAATTTATATATTTAATGCCCAACCTCTTGAGAACCTGCATCCTGATATTGAGGACACTATATATTCTGAGTACGTAATTGAATTATTTCAATAAAGTGGGTAATATGGGGTTCCATTTGTGCCAAAAATATGTTGTTGCGCCTTTGTCCGTGTTCTTAAAGCTTGGAACATTTGTATACGTGTATAGACAGAACAAAACGATGTTATGTGTCAACACAAGCTTTGAGAACATGGACAAAGGCGCAACAACATATTTTTGGCACAAATGGAACCCCATAAGTATAAGCAGTTTATTATTAAGAGTTTCAGTTCAGGCCTAATTCTCAATGCACGAGTACAGGTACAGTAGCATGCTGGGTTGGCATTTCACTGCTGAGGTTGTAGGAAGGCTCATTACAGAATTCTTTTGATCTTTGTTTAAGGGGGACATGCAAAATCCTCTTTTTTAGCCATTAAATGCATTTTGTTGTGAACGTGGGGTGTCTAGGATTGCAGAAAATCTAATTTAATCTTTCCCAGTGCTGGGTAATTATCTTTATATTCTCTTTGGGTCAAATTTTCCATCCCGTTCAGTTTTGTCTATTTTTTTAAATGTTTTCTGAACTATTAAATCAAATTGCTTTTGATGGAATTGCCAAATAAGGTCTGGACTCACCAACTACAATCAATCCTCTTGCTCTGGATAGGACGTGGCCACCTTCATCAACATGCTCACACTGGTGCTCTATGCATTGAAAAACGTCAACAAAACCAACGGATGTCAGCGGATTGTGAGGCATRGTCCTGAAGCAAAACTCTTGTAAACTACGGTTCAAAATAAAGCTTAGGAAATTGTGAATTTAATGATTTTTTACGAAAACTGAAAATAAATAACTAATTTGACATGGGTTTTTTTTGCATTTAAGTTTATGCATGCTGACCAGACGGATGTTCGTGCATGTACAGGATTTATCAATTAGACCTGAGCATTAGATATTTAAAATTAATAAATAAAATTAGTCTTTCAAGTCTATATGTGAATATTTATACATATATTTGTTTATACTCATAGCTCTCTACGCTACAGTCTGTGCCCTCATTTACCTATTCACACACACACACTCTTTCAGCACTCTACTAGATTTCTCTGCAAAGCTAATACAGACAAATCAGTCTATCTAGACTAATCAGTGCTTTAAATCACACTCACACACTGATGCATCACACATCAAAGGCAGTGGGGGTTCAGTGTCTTGCCCAAGGACACTTTGATATGTGACCAAATAGTGGTGGAAGCAAACCGCCAACTCTCACATTGGAGGAATAACACCCCTAACCACTGAGGCACAGCCTCCGTTTATGTAAGAATTTAGACTAAAGCGTTGCAGTTCCACTTTATAAAGACCCTAATTGAATGATTTAAATATATAAAAGATTTAAAAGCATGATATGTTCTGTTTAAGAAAGATAAATTTTTTCTTTGTGTTTTTGGACAGCATACTCACTGCATGCACAAGGTGTTAATGTGTGACTTCGACATGTAAACAGTACAAACTCTAACCCGGCTGCACACATGCTCACTTGTAACAATGAAATGGCTTATTCAGTCTTTTTTTTGCAGGTAAATGTATATATATATATTTATATACAGTATACTGTATATAAGACCATAATCAGCTTTGGTCTTGGCCTCACTCAGACTAGCCAATACTTCATCAATCCTGTTAAAATCAAAGTCTTCTTTTCGAAGTGAGGCCATTTAAAGAGTTATCAGCAACAGGTAAAACAGTAACTTTCTTTCCACAGAACCCCAGTCTCAAATGCTTTAAGTGCTGTTTAGTGATAACTTGCTACTGACTAACAAAATACAGTGAAAGTAGCTCTCAGTGAGAGTGAGACAGTCAAACATTTGGCTGCATAAACAAAACAAATCCATCATCAATCATTAGCACAAATGGTATTTGATTAAAAAAAGTACAGCCATGAGTGTGCAATAAAAAAAGCCAATTTGCTAATCAGTTGTTTTATTCTTGATAGGTTTATACTAACATGTTGCTAAGTGGAGCAAAAATCACTTCATTCTACTCATTTTCATTCAACACAAAAGTTGTTAAACCATTGCTGTTACTGTTTGTGATATAAAGAGTCAGTCAGTTTTGAATGCTGCTAAATCCTCAGATTGCAAATATCAAGGTGAGGCTTTTGTTCTGATAAACTGGTGAGCAGCTGTGGGTCTGAAAGTGTGTCATAAAGTCACAGTGATCTGTTGAATTCTAATAGCAAGGTGTAATAAAGGATGAGAAACTGTTTTTAATAGTCATGGTGGAAGCATGCCGCCTCAGGTTCTCCACTGTTATGGACCCGGGGTTGTTATGACGGCTGATACGAGCGTTCACGTTTTGGCTGCCATGGGAACTCCACTTCCACCGTAATCAAGCTGCTGTTTGTCACCAGAGTGGATTAATGTTACAAAAAGTCTAAAGCTGAGCAGCATTCTGTGTTACCCTGTATAATTTTTTATTTATTTTTTTTTTGTGTGTTTCGTCATTTGATTTTCTCTCTGTATTTGCGTTAGGCTGCAGCGGGACGTGGGACAAGATCACCTGCTGGCCCAGTGCTGACATCGGAGAGGTGGTGACCATCCCCTGCCCCAAATATCTCTTCTACTTCTCCAGAAATGTTTCACCACGTAAGACTCAATAAATAAATAAATACATACATAAATAAATAAATAAATAAATAAATAAATAAATNTGTTTAGCTCTGGTGAGGGGCAACAGGTCAAACAATGCCCCCCACCCCACCCCAAATAAATAAATAAATAAATAAATAAATAAATAAATAAATAAGAGGTTGTATGTTTTGCACAAAGAGTGAGCTCTTTGCTGCTTTTTTTCTATCAGCAATCAAACTTTGTTAGCATCCACCTTAGTTTCTTTCATCAGTTTTCAAAGGACGAGGTAATGTTGAGTGATGGTCTGTTGATTGCTGTATCCATCTTTAATTTTAGATATTACGTTCTACAAATAGGGCCTTTGATAAGCATCAAATAAATGGGTAACTGCAGCAGGTGTTAATGAGGTTTTCAATCAAGTAACTTGTTAAATTAGAGAGAAATTGTTAATGAAGTACTAAAGCACACAATGAAAGCAATGAAAATATCTCTTCTTTCATCTTGTTTCTTGTAAACAAGCTCAGCAAGACAGGAATTGTTGGGTTATATATTAATTTTGTATTTCATCAAACTGAATTTTAATTTAAAAAAATCAGATGGTCTTTCTCTACAGGAACATTACTGTTTGCCTATGACAATTGTGTCCTTAAAATTTAGCCTTCTTAAAGGAAAGCATATCACCCACTGTCTTACACGGCAGATGAAGCTCTTGTGTGATACTTTAGCTCTCAGATTATGTGTTGTAGACCATTGATTCACAACCAGGGTTATGTGTACCCCTTGGGATACGTGAACATATTACAGGAAAAATTTCCCAGGTGTGTAAATAAATAAATAAAAATAGGACTGAGATACGTAGGGCCCTATGATTTCCACAATGCAGAAAATGCAGATGGAATCACAAAACTGACACAAAATGGAATCCTGTATAAAATGCAGACTCTCGTGTAATTTGCTTATTTGGTAAATTTGATGTATTTTGGACACTGCTGTTTTCTGCACCTGCGTGGTTTATTTATTTAATTGCTTATTCATTTTCAAGGCAACATATTCATCTTTATATTTAATTTGAGTTGAAAATAATAAAATCCCTGAGAATTAAATGTTCTAGGGGGTTAAATAAAAATTTTCTTTTAGTAATTAGCTGTTGAACATTATGTCTCAAGGGGTACACAAGTCTAAAAAGGTTGGGAACCACTGTTGTAGACGACTCTAAGATACAACTACTGTACACCCAGTTTTAATTTCTTGTCTGTCAAATTGACTGAGATATTTACAGGAGTTAGACAATGAAACTGAAACACCTGTCATTTTAGTGTGGGAGCTTTCATGGCTAAATTGGACCAGCCTGGTGGCCAATCTTCATTAACTGCACATTGCACCAGTAAGAGCAGAGTGTGAAGGTTCAATTAGCAGAGTAAGAGCACAGTTTGGCTCAAAATATTGCAATGCACACAACATTATGGGTGACATACCAGAGTTAAAAAGAGGACAAWTAGTTGGTGCACGTCTTGCTGGCGTATCTGTGACCAAGACAACAAGTCTTTGTGATGTATCAAGAGTCACAGTATCCAGGGTAATGTCAGCATACCACCAAGAAGGATGAACCACATCCAACAGGATTAACTGTGGAAGCAAGAGGAAGCTGTCTGAAAGGGATGTTATGGTCTAAAACCAGGTGTTTCACTTTCATTGTCTAACCCCTGTACATTGTATTGTGTTTGCTAAGATTGAGTAGCTGTGATGATTCTGGTGCTAAACCTCTCCTTAACTAATAACCATGAAACACACAAAAATAGATCAACCAAATACTGACTGACCTTTTACTTTTTTTGTGTACTTTTCAGCTCAGACACCTGCTTTGTTTAATAACCTGAGAGAATGTATGAAAGTATACAATAATCGTAAAATGAGCATACTGAGGCTTAAAATGATAATTACCTTTTTGCTCATTAGGTTTAACCTTTTCGGTCAAATAAGACATTCTYAAGAAGATTCTAGTCTTCCAGATTAATCAAAGTTAGCTCAGCTCAGTCTATGTGTTTCTCAGCAGTGTGGCTTTTGACCTGATCATGGAACAGTGAACCAGATCTTCACCCTTTAGATGTTGCTAAGGGGGTCATGGCAGTTTAACTAAACTAAATGTGTTTTGTGGACTTGGAGAAAATTCATACTCATGTTGCACAGTGACTAAAAGGACAGGGATGACAGAAGAAGATAACAGCTGCTCGCCTTCTTCCTTCCTCTACTTCTGTTTTGATCCAAATTCTTCCTGCTCTTGTCTCCAGTGTAATCCTGCTCCAAATCTAAGAAGAGTAATCAAATGGTTTGGCTTGACACTGGTTAGACTTGTTTCTTTGACTTGACTCATTGCATCCCTCATCTCTCACAGAACAGTAGCAGAGTGAAATGAACTAAACAAACTCCCGTGCTCTGCATCACCGGCCCGACAAACAATCGTGATGTTTATTCATCCTTCTTTAATCTGTGAAAGACTTGCAGGGAGGTAATGCTAATTATGTCTGGGCAAGACCACAGAACGGTGAATTTATTGGATGATTTACAAAATGTTTGCACTGTAGCTCCTTAAATTATTCCCCACTGAGTTTCCCACACTTCTCAATTTGCCAATAATTACTACAAGTCTTCTCAAAGTAATTATGTGGAGGCCCTGAGAAATGTAATAGGAGTTACGCTTAAATTACTTTACAACAACTTGGCTTTCTAGAGACTTTTGAAAACAGCACCAATTAAGTTCTTTATTTCTAAATAATTAATAGGATAAAGTTGTATCCTTCAGGTAAAGAATGGAATCAAGAAATCACAAACTTTATGATAATAATGTGATAGATAATCAAATTGTTGAATTTTAAACTCGTTTCAAGTTGMGTAAATCTTTCCATCTCTATCTTCTACCGTTTATCTGTAGTCAGGCCACAGAAGCAACAGGGCTAGGAGAGATACCCAGACATCCCTCTCCCCAGCAACACTTTCCAACTCATCTAGAAGGCATTCCCAGACCAGAGAGGATACAGTGGGGAAAATAAGTATTTAGTCAGTCACCAATTGTGCAAGTTCTCCCACTTAAAAAGATGAGAGAGGCCTGTAATTGACADCATAGGTAGACCTCAACTATGAGAGACAAAATATGAAAAAAAATTTGAGAAAATCATTTTGTCTGACTTTTAAAGAATTTTTTTGCAAATAATGGTGGAAAATAAGTATTTGGTCACCTACAAACAAGCAAGATTTCTGGCTGTCACAGACCTGTAACTTCTTTTTAAGAGGCTCCTCTTTCCCCCACTCATTACCATTACCCTTTGTAGAGAAACAGCCCCAAAGCATGATGTTGCCACC